CAAAAAAAGGTGCACAAAGAAGACATGCCAGAAATTTATTAATGTTTAGTGAATTTACGAAAACCAAACCCAAGGAATTGAAAACTACTGAGCAACTTCAACTATACCTGGTATCTTCACAAGAAATAAAAATCACCCACACATGTAATTCTGTACATCCCATCAGTTGTACATCCCAGAAGATCCCATAGGACTGAACAGTTCCAGGTCTTTGTGATCTTAAAGGTTTGGCTTTAAGCAACTCACTGCAGCTGCTTGTGTCAGAGTTAGAAGCTCCTTGTTTCCATGAAATTAAAATCATTATTGAAATCAAAAGGTGCATACCTTTTCATGGATTTCTGTATTTTTGCCAATACTGAATACATGAGTTTTCAGGAGAAATCTTACCTGCTGCCAGAATAGAATCATGGAAGTGCTTAGCTTGGAAGGGGTCTCTAAGGGTCATCTGCTTAAACCCCTCCTTGTCCCCTCATGCCTCCCCTTGCTCAGAGCAGGACCAACTTCCAGCAGGTCACTCGGGGCTGTGTCCTGTCAGGTTGCCAGTCTCTCCAGGGATGGAGGTTTCCCAGCCCCTCCAAGCAACCTGCTTTAGTGCTCCGCCACTGTCACCCTAACACTCTGCTCTGGAGACAAGTCAGTTTCCAGGGGACTCGCTTCAGCTCCCAGGTTGAAGGAGTTCTGGCACTGCTTTGTTAGGTGAGGCTCAGCTCTCTGCACAGCAATATACAATGGTAGAGAGGCACTTTCCATCCAGCTAAAATTGCAGCAGAATATTACTGATTTTACTTTTTAAAAAGTATTGCAGGATTTTATTATGTGCATGTGATCAGAGCTTATTTACATTTCAACATAAAACCAGCATATCATACATTGGCTAATTTCTGCTACTGATTTCTATCAAGCTGTAACCTTACAGCAAGGGATGATTTCTGGTAAGAGACTTGGACATTTAATAGAAGCATGAAGTGTCATGGAAATATTTCTGCTAAAATACAAGTAAGGAAACAGTTAACAATGATACATTTTCAGCATTAGGGTGCAGGATAACAACCAGCTGCTTGAATGTAAGCAAGCGAAAACCCATCCATCTTCCAAGCTCACAATTCAGCTGCTGGCAGGACTGCAGTGCCACATGCTGCCGTCACGTTCCACCCAGCTTCTGAATGCCAGTTTTGCAATGTGAAATATTTAAACATAACCCTTACACCTTCCAGTTCATACTGCTGCTAAGCACATATGTAGTAAATTCCACAGCCAGGGAACCACGAGCACGAGGTTCTCAGAAAAACAGACGTTTTCGGGTTGTGTAGCTGCTATCCAAGCAGCTTTGCACACTGTATGCTTTTCTGACCTGGTTTCTCTACACGTGGTGTGTTCTTAAGGAACAGCTGTGTAGCCATTTCAATCTGACATAAATCTGGCCTGTCACTCACATGGTTACTCCCATCATTCTTGTTCCCAGCTGCTCATACTCACTGTCTCCCCTGTGCCAACTCACTCATTCACTTAAGTACCTGAGCTGTAAATCATATCAGGGAACCCACCCTGCTGAAAAAATAATCCTTTTTTCCCAGTTTGCTTCATGCTATGTTTAACCTGATCCAACTGTGTCCCATTCCCTCCTAGTACTGCCCACATGCTAGAAAAGTTCACAAAAAAGTTGGGCTTTTTTTCAGCCAGATCAGTTCATTCTTGCAGTTCACCGCACAGCAACTCCTGTAACAGTACTAACAGGAAGAACAAGTGCTTGGGCCCAAAAAGTAGGTGCTTTCAGATGCAGCCCAGATGCATGCTGGTTTAAATACACAGTTTTAGCTGTTTATTTCACAGAAGTACTTTGTCAGATGAAATACTAATAAAAAAGTTTACAAGAGCACATAAATAATAACCTTGCAAGATTTGACATCCTACTGTAGCAGAAGATGCATTTTTACTTCCTCATTCTTGGCTTGTTCTTCCATCTTTTCTTCAGTGGATGTCTGTTCACCATCAGACTCAGAAATACATGCCTACATTTACTTCATGATCTATGCAAAATGTCTAAGCACATGCCCACATCCAAAATAAACCATGAAGAAAAACCAATCAGAAGAGATTCAGCCATCAAAATGTGTTTTATTTCCACACAGTATTCTTATGTTAACAACCACAAACATAAGATGAAGAAATGGAAACAAATACAAATATCTGTATAAAAGTAGATTTCAAAACATTATCAAAAAGCTATTTTGAAGTCCTGTAAAGGAATAATACTTCACGTCTTTGTTGTGATCAATAGGCTGGTAGAAAGAAAGGGAAATTCTTAGCCTACTAACAAATATTACAGTTGTTTGTAAGAAATATAAAAGTTTTTATATCCTACATGATTATCTTTATTAATAAAATATTTGTAAGAAATGGTATCCTGTATGAGTATTTTTTGTACTTAAAAAGGTGTGAGTAGAATCACAGTGGGCCACCCTCAAACCTGTCTGTAAATGCTGTTTGCTATAAGGTACAAGATAAATAGGGCACACAAAGTAGAATGTTTTCATTGCTCAGGTACACAGTGACGTTTTAATATATTGGACCAGAATAAGCTTAGTGCATGAGAAAAAGTCTTTGATAAGATTTTTGTAAGATCATTGTCATCTTAATTTGCAAATACAAAAGTGACATAACTGACTGATATTTACTCTGGAGATTAAGATACTCCAGCTGTACTGGAAGAGAGATATAAACAAATGAGGTTGGTTTATAAAAACTCAGTTAGCTTGGCAACTTGCCCAAGACTATTATTTTTTTATTTACTAATGTCAGTAATTCAAGGTGTGAGCTGACATCACCACTAACAAAACAGACATCTACAATGAAAGGGCAGCCTTGCCTCTAGCACGTCCAGCCATGCACTCCTCTGGCATTTCCCTCATGACAACACTGGGACTCAGTTGATGCCATACTGAGCCAGTTCAGGCAATTAAACACCAGAAAACTAATCCCACAAAATGCGGCAATTCATTTTAGCAATTCATCAATTTAACCTCATGACCTTCCTAAGTAAATAAACACATCTGTAAACAAGTATTTCAAAACCTTACCAAAAAGGTATTTGAAAGTCCTGCAAAGAAATCCTTCATATCCCTGTTGTGATCAGTAGGCTGACAGAAGAGGAAAATCTGATAAATACTGCAGTTGTTTGTAAGGAATATTGGATACTTTTATCATAGGACCATACAATGGTTTGGCTTGGAAGGGACCTTACAAATCATCCAGTTCCAACTCCACTGCTATGGGCAAGGACACCTCCCACCAGACCAGGTTGCTCAAAGCCCTGTCCAACCTGGCCTTGAACACTTCCAGGGAGGGCACAGGCACGCAGGTGGTATCTCTCCCTCTTGCGAGTCTGGAAACCTCACCGCTTTTCTCACCGGTGACAGAGGTTGCACTGGGCAGCCACGCCGAGCAAAACCAGTGGGATTATTTAGCCTGTGGAGGCGAGGCGAAGCGAGGCACGCTGGTTCCCCCCAGCGGCTCTGTATGAAGGAAGAGGCCGAGGCGGTGAGGGACAGGAGAAGACAACGAGGGACAGGCAGGGAGGGACGAGACAGGATGAGGACACACAGCCGGGGAGGCCAGGACGCTCCAGCGGTGTCCCCTTTCGTCCCTCCGCCACAGGTGCCTCCGCGGTGACACCACACGCATGCGCAGCATCTTGCGCACGCCCCCTCTACACCCAGCTCGCGGCCTGATTGGAGGAGCCGCCGCCCGTTACCACGCTCCAGGCCTGAGGGAAACGGAGCCTTACACGACTGTCATGGGTGAGACGCCGCAGCCCCCCCGGCCCGGGATCGGCGTGGGCGTGGGGGTCACTAGCCCCGCACACCCCAACTGCGT